GGCGCCAGTGCGCCTGCGCGGGGCGCCTGCGCGGCGCCAGGGTGGGGGGGGGGCCCTCGCAGGGGGAGCGCGGCTGGGCGGGAAGCACCGCCCCCTGGGCGTGGCCTGGGAGGCGTGTTCCGTCCGCGCGCCTCCCATTGGTGGAGCGCGTTTAGGCGGGAAGGGGAGTCCTCCGCTACGCTAGGGGATTGGTCGGGGCGGAGGCTGGGGCGAGGTAGCCCCGCCCCTGTCTCGCGATAGTTCGCCATCTCGGGGGTCTGAGGGGAGCCGGCGGCGGCGGCGGCGGCGGCGGCGGAGGAGGAGGAGGAGGGAGGGGGCGGAGGCCGGCGCCTCACGGAGCCGGTGCCGCCGCTGCTCGGCGCCCTGGGGCGGTGCCTGTCCCGTGCTCCTCCAGGCGGTGAGTGCTGGGGGGAGGTACTGGGAGTAATTTGGGACACTGGAGGGCGCTGTCAGGTGCTGGAAGGCTCTGAGGCGGTGCGGGGAAGCGCTTGCTACGCTGGGGGTCACTGGGAGGCGCTTTGGGTGCACTGGGAGGTGCTTTGGGGTCACTGGGGGGCACTTGGAGGTGCTTTGGGGTCACTGAGAGGTACTTTAGGGTCACTGGGGGTACTTTGGGTGCACTGGAGGTCGCTGGGAGGCCCTTTGGGTGCACTGAGGGGCACTTGGAGGCGCTTTAGGGTCACTGGGAGGTGCTTTGGAGTCACTGGGAGGCACTTTGAGCACACTGGGAGGCACTTTGGGGTCACTGAGAGGTGCTTTGAGCACACTGGAGGTCGCTGGGAGGCACTTTGGGGTCACTGAGAGGTGCTTTGAGCACACTGGGGGGCACTTGGAGGCGCTTTAGGGTCACTGGGAGGTGCTTTGGAGTCACTGGGAGGCACTTTGAGCACACTGGGAGGCACTTTGGGGTCACTGAGAGGTGCTTTGAGCACACTGGAGGTCGCTGGGAGGCACTTTGGGGTCACTGAGAGGTGCTTTGAGCACACTGGGGGGCACTTGGAGGCGCTTTAGGGTCCCTGGGAGGCACTTTAGGGTCACTGGGGGCACTTTGCGTGCACTGGAGGTTGCTGGGAGGCACTTTGGGGTCCCTGGGGGGCACTTTGGGGTCACTGGGGGCACTTTGGGGTCACTGGGAGGCACTTTGGGGTCCCTGGGGGGCACTTTGGGTGCACTGAGGGGCACTTGGAGGTGTTTTGGGGTCACTCTGGGGTCCCTGGGGGGCAGTGAAGGATGCCTGGCTCTACAGGGGCAATCTTGCGGGGTCATTCGCAGCCCCCCTGCTCAAACCGGCACATCCCGCTGAGCTCTAGCGCTGGCTCCAACTGGGAGTCACTGGTGAGGCGCTGCACCCTCTGCTCCCCAGCACTTCCATTCCCCTACCCTCCCAGTTTGGGGGCCCCTCTGAGCTGCTGGGGACAGGGGTGATACCGGTGCAGGTGTCACACCAGGACACGGAGCGGGGACAGCAGCGCTGTCCCGCAGGACAGGGGGGTCACTTCACGGCAGGGGCCCCAACACCTGGGTCCGTCCGTGCTGGGTGAGGGGACAGGGGGAAGGACGCTGCCACCAGTGCACCCCAATTTCTGCCGTGGGGCAGCCGCGGGCCCTTCCCCCCTTCCGTGAGGCACGGGGGGGTGAGGGGGGCAGGAAGCGCCGCAGCCGCCACATTGTCCTTATAAGGACTCGGCAGCACCGGGGCTGCTTCCTGCAGCCCGTCCCGCTGCACATCTGCTGCTGCACCCGCAGCACCTTCCCACATCGCCGTCTCTGCCCTCCCTCACCCCGCAGCACCCCCATCTCCCTGTGCCCCACATCGCTATCTCTGCCCTTCCTCACCCCACAGCACCTTCCCACATCACTGTCTCTGCCCTTTCTCACCCCACAGCACCCCCATTTCCCTGTGCCCCACATCGACCCACCCCAGCACCTTCCCAGTCCCATCTCCGCCCTTCCTCACCCCACACCCCCCAATCTCCTGTGCCCCACATCAACCCACTCCAGCACCTACCCACATCGCCACCTCTGCCCTTCCTCACCCCACAACACCCCGATTTCCTTCTGCCCCACATCACCCCATCCCAGCACCTCCCACATCCCCACCTCTGCCGTGCACCGCCTTCTTCACCCCACATCTCCCCCATTTCCGTGCCGCACATCACCCCCAATCTCCCTCTGCCCCACATCAACCCACCCCAGCACCTCCCAGTCCCCCCCTCTGCCCCTGAACACCCGGAGCCCTGCCCCACAACCTGCCAGAAGAGTTCCTGCCCCCCGATTCCCCGCAGCCCCTCCTGTTCTCCCCTCCTTTTCCCCCAATAAAGCCTCTGCCCCCCAACTTTGCCTCCTGAGCATCAGAGGGTGGGGGTGGGCAGCGTGGGGCGTGTGCTGAGGCATCACCCCCGCCCCGAAGTGGACTTTGTCCCCCCGGGGCACGGCAGCACCCTTGGACCCGGTCCCCGCCCTGGGCGGAGGACAGAGCCGCGCCCCGGTCCCCGAGAGCCCTGAGCCACAGCGACTTCCCCACGAGGGCACTTTATTGCTGCCGGCAGCGGGGACTGTGGGCGGGCAGGGGGGCGGGGGACGGGGGTCCTGCTGGTCCCTGGCGGCTCCTGCTGGTCCCTGGGGGTCCGGGGGTGGCCCCCAGCCCCGCTCAGTACTGGCTGCGCCGCAGGTGGTTGGCCATCTCGTAGCATTTCTTGTTGACGCAGCCGCCGTGGACGCCCTCCTTGCCCATGGCCAGCACGATGGCTGCAGGGAGAGGGACAAGGTGGGGGTCATCCCCAAAGCCCCCCAAAACCTCCAGACAGACGGGGGGTCAAGGGGCACAAGGGCAGGAAAAGCAGGAGCTGGGGTGAAGGGATGCCGGGAGTTAACGGGAAGCAGGTCAGGGGTGACACAGGTGACAGGGCAGGTGACGTGGCCAAGGACACAGGGTGGCACTGGGGAAAGGGGGGGTACCTGGGGAGTGACACTGTGATGCCCTAAGTGTCACTTGTGTGGAGGCTGGGGGTCATGGGGGGTGACAGGGACTGGGCAGGGGGTGACACGGGGTGACAGGAAGATGGGCAGGGGGTGATGGGGGTGGGAAGGGGGTGACAGGGAGTGAAAGGGACTGGGCACGAGGTGACAGGTGGGGAGGGGCTGACACGGGGTGACAGGAGCTGGGCAGGAGGTGACACGGGGTGACAGGGACTAGGAAAGGGGTGACATGGGGTGACAGGGAGGTGGGGGACAGTGACATGGGGTGACAGGAACTGGGCAGGGGGCCACAGGGAGGTGGGCAGGGGGTGACAGGGAGGTGAGGTGGCAGTGACACGGGGCCACAGGGGGAGGTTCCCCGCTGGTGATTTCCAAGCTGGGGGCTCACAGGGGCCAGGAGGGCAGGGGGGCACGAGGCAGGGGTGGCAGGGGGCAGCCCCCCGCCAAGGTGGGGAGGGGTCCCTCACTCTTGTTGGTGATGGCAGCCGTGATGTTGAAGGTGGGCGCTCCCGCGGCGCCCTTGGTGCGCAGGTCCATGCTGTGCTCGCCCTCCACCAGCAGCGAGTCGCGGATGACGGAGCAGCGCAGCCCCCCCAGCGTCAGCCCCTGCACCAGCAGCGGGCCCCGCTCGGGGCCCACCAGCGCCGCCACCTCCGCGGGCTGCGGGGGGAACACGGCTGAGCCCCCGAGCCCACCCGAGGGGGGCACGGCCGGCCGGGGACGGGGCCCCCCCGAGCCAGCCCCAGGGGGGCACGGCTGCCCCCAGCCCACCCCCACCACAGCCTGTCCCTTCCGCAGGGTGGGGACACCCCAAAGACCCCCACCCATGGAGCACTAAAACCAAAGCCTGCCCCCCCCCCCGAGTGTCCTGGGCTTGGGGCCCCCCCCCCCGGGGACTCAACTCCCGCTCCATGACCATAAATGGACCCCGGTGTCCCGGGACCCCCGTGACTCCCGACAGGGACCCCACCCCGCTCCCCGACCCCCGAGGGGTTCCCACAGGAGCACCCCAGAACCCAGGGATCCTCACGACCTCCCCCCCAAATTAGGACCCTCCAGGGTTAACCCCTCCAGCAGCTGCCACGGGCGGGGGGAACAGCTCAGGAGCCCCAAAACCGGGAACCCCCTCAAGCAAAGCACCCCCCACATTTCACCCAGACACCCCCAACACCCGGGGACCCTCGGGAGGACCCCCCCCAATTCGGGGGACCCCCGGAACTCCCCCGTGACCCCCGACAGGAACCAGAGCCCCCCTTTCCCACCACGGGCTTCCCCAAACTTCTCCCCCTTCCTCCCCCCACAATTTCCGTGGGGGGAAGTGGGGATGGGGGGGGAAGGGAGGGGGGTGCGCGCGCGCCGCCCCTCCCCCACAGGAAGCCCCGGCCGCCCCTCCTCCACCGGGAAGTGGCCGCGCATTCCGCGCATTTTTAGAGGGTTTTTTAAAGTGGGGAGGGGTTCCTCCACACACACACACACACCCCTCCCCACCACCACGAGACCCCCGCCGTGCAATAACGGGGACGGGGCGCGGGGAGCGGAGCACGTGTTCGCCCATCCCCCCCTTCCCCGCCCGCCTGCGATCCCCCCAAAAACGCCCCAAGCGGGGTTAAAGCGGGGGCTGCCTCCCCGCCGGACGCCCCCCTTTGCCTGCAGGGCCCCCCC